GAGGCTGAGGCAGGAGAATCGCTTGAACCCGGGAGGCGGAGGTTGCTGTTAGCCAAGATTGCGCCATTGCACTCCAGCCTGGGGGACAACAGTGAAACGCTGTCTCAATAAATAAATAAATAAATAAGAGAAAATTAATAGACAATAACTGAACAAACCTATCAATTAATGAATTTGTGAATTGTGAAAATATACAAGCAGGAATTAAAAAATGGTGCACACATGAATAAATAAATGCATGAATTAGTGAATGCATTAAAAACAAACAATATCACGAGTGAATAAATGAGTGAATGTACAGTGATACAAGCAAACCCAGAAACAAAGAAAGAAATGGATGGAGAGAGCAAAATAAAATGAATTTCTACAGACAGGCAGGAAGGGAGGGAAGAGGCAGGAAGGGAGGGAAGAGGGAAGAAGGCAGGGACATCTCTGTGTACGGCCACTCAGGGCGGGGGCAGCTCCTAGAAGCGCCCCGCCTGCTGTCCCCCAGTTCAGCTCACCCGGCCGAAGAACTGCAGGAAGGTGTTGGAAAGTAGCAGGTGCTTCTCTGCCAGGAAGCGATAGCGCCGCTTCTCTTCCAGTTCAGCCGCCCGCTGACTCTCAGACACGAAGGCCTGCATCTGGGCGTGCAGCCGGTTCACACTCTCCTGGAGGGAATGGGAGTTCTGGCTGGGGGCGGTGGGTGTGTCTCATCCCATCCACCTCGCCCACAGGCGCCAGCTGTTCAAGCCCCCTGTCTTTCCTGACTGCGCCTCCCCAAGCCCACCCCCCATCACCCAGCCCACCCTAGCTCCTAAGCCTGCCCCCTCATCGGCAGCCTTGTTATGAGTCTGGGCCCTGCGTCCTCCTCGCCCGGGTGCTTCTCGCAAGCAGGGCTGGTGTCTGAGCCCTCGCTCTGTCCCTGGCACCCAGCATAAGCCCAAGCACGGGCTGGGGGAGGGGAGCAGGGGGACGGGTTTAATTAGAATATGAATGAGTAGATTAATAGCCCCTATTTAGGGGGAAGGTTCTGAGGAGGGGAGGCATGAGCTCACTTAAAGGAGTCAGGAGCCAGAAGAAGAGACGGGAAGGGAGGTAGAGGGTTTGGATCTTTGAGACAGAGGCCAGGGATGGGGCCCCAGGCTCAGGAGGGGGAAAATGGACTTAGCGGGGCGGGATACCTCTGCCTGGCAGGAGGGAGGGGAGGAGGATGGGCAGCTGGTGGATGACACCTTTGGCACCATGTCCAAGCGAGCAATTTTCTCGGTGAAGTAGGAGACGGGGGAGGTGGGATGGGGTTGCAGGAGAGACCCGGGGATTCTGGGGAAGGCCAGGAAGCCACAGGGCAAGGGGCGGTGCTGGGCGTGGCCCTGGGAGCTAGTGACGCCCACCCCACCAGGGGCTGGCTGACCTCCCCAGCCACGCTCATCACAGTTGTGCTGGTGCTCGGTGGGGGAGCTCAGGGAGGTGTTCGGGGTTCCCAGGGCCCGGTCTCGCCCCAAGGTCTGCCCACCCGCCCTTGCCGGCTCACCCCCGCTTCCCGGCCCTCGCACCTTCATCTCCCGCACATTCTTGTCTCTCTTGCGCTCCATGCGCCACAGCTCAGACATGCACTTCTCCAGGTTGGCCGCTCGGTGGCGGTACTCGAGCTCATAGTGCTGGCGGCTGTCCTGGAGTAGGGTGGAGTTGGGGAGGGAGAATCCCCCCACATCAGAGAGCTCAAGACACCCCTTACAGAGATCAGGACCCTGGAAGTTTGGAGACTCGGGGCTCAGCTGGGAACATGGATAATCTGGGGCCCAGTTAATGCTCAGCACTGGCCTGTGTGTGCCCACCTGTCAAATGGGAGAGGGGGTCCTGCCTACGATGGGTTGGGGCCGAGCGGGGAGGCCAGACTCACTTTGATGAACTGCATGTCCAGCTTGGTGTTCTTCTCCATGTGCTGCAGTAGGTCTCCATGGAATGTCTGCACCTGAGCGGAGTGCAGGGTGAGGGTGATCAAGGCCCCCCTACTGTTCCCAGGCCCCAGCACCCCCTTGCACTTTCTGTATAACAGCCTGCCCACCATGCTTCTAAGTACACCAGGCACCTGCCCACCTGTCAGAGAAACGGAGACAAGAAGAGCACCTGGCTGGAGGGAGGATGAAATGGTGAAACATTCACAATGTTTACTGCAGTGCTGGCTGGAAACGAACCCTTGGTAAGTGTGTCAGAGTCTTCTGGTTCTTATTTTTTGTCTTATTCTTAGTTTGTACTTTGATGATGTCATTCCCTCTGCCTGGAATTTCCTCTCTATCTTCCAATGCCAGCTTCCTGTCTTCCTGACTCCCCCAAGCAGAATCCATTGCTCCCTTGTTTTGTTTCTGGACTGTGTGCACATTTTGTTCCTTCGTTGTCCATTCCTCCAGTTGTATACAGAATTTATGGCCAGGCCCCCATGCATAGCCCCTCGGAGCTGTTATGGCCATGGCTCACCTCTGTGTCCTCAGCACCATGGGCAGGGCACAGCCCAGCAAAAACACTCAGAAGCTGTTGAGGTCTCAGATGGGCCTGAGAG